TGTTCCTTACAGCAAAGTGTTCTGTTTAACCGAACACTCTCTACCTTAAAATCGACAACCATCTGTCAAATTTCAACGTACAGAGTAAGAGAAAAAAGAACAAGATCTAACATCGAAACTATCGAGGTAAAAAAAAACGAAATTTTACTGAACTAGGGACAAGCAATTTTTGCAAAATATTTGAAATATTTACATCCCAATACTAAGTAAATATTTGGATATATCTATATATATATAAAAAAAATAAAAGGGTGAGCAATGTGGCGAATTTTTGTTAACAGGGGCTGTAAAAAATGGCGATTTTTTTATAATCGCGAAATGGAAGAATAAAAGTAGATATAAAATATAAAAACAAGTATAAAAGTAAAAAATATATATAGATAGAATAGAATCTCGTTTCTAATTTTTAATATTTCTACTTAAATCTAAATTATGTATTTTTGGTGTATTAGTATTATTATGCGTATTTAGCATATTACACTTATCTATTTAATAATATTACAATTATTATTGTTGCTACCTACACATTTACCTATTTCATTTTTTCTATGAAGTCTAGCTCTAATATTTATAAGTGCGAAGTCTCAGAAAAATAAGTAAACATAGAGTTACCTACCTTAATATATGGTCAACTGCATCTTATTAGATAAAACAAAATAGGATTAGTTACACCATAACGCAAGAACGCCAAATGGAAAAAAGCATATTCAAGTCTAGAAAGATATTGAAATATACAGGGTGCCCCAGAAATAAGTGCAAGTATTTTAATTGGTACTGTAGTTCGACCCAAAAAAAAATGTTGAAAATTTTATATTTTTCTTGAAATTTTCCGGAAAATATTGAAAAACTTTTGAGTGTCGCTTGTTCAATTTCCGAAAATTTGTTTATAGCGCTTCGAGAGAATGCAGTGCTGTCACCTCCTACGTTTTCCACATTCTGTATGTTTACAAGTTATAAGTTCACATTTTTAAATTTCTACAAAAAAAATACTTAAATTAATTTTATTCACAGTAGATTTTTTAATCATTGTAGATTACTATTAAGCATAGTGTAACGTTTACTATATTTTAAATACCTTTACAGTTTACTGAAATAATGAAACTAACAGCTTTTCAACAGTTCGGAATCAGCGCCCTCTATTAGATATGTAAATAGTCAACGTTTGACCTACATTTAAACAAATCAGCCTGATGGAATTTTTAGGTTATCCAATTCATTTGAGATTTTACTCACAATAGTAAACCTCTGACAAAACTAAAAAAATAGACAAATGTAAGGTAAGCGTGTAAAAATACTGTTATTATTCAAATAGAAATATCAATTATTTTGGTGTTTGTTCACAAAAACAAGAGTATGATATAGAAAAACATAGGAGTTTAAATTCTCAAAAAATAATCCTATACAGGGTGGTTTTTTACTTTTAATCAGAATTTTCCAAGTCGTTTTTAAATCTTTCTAGTCGATGTGTCAACACTGGACGTCGATCAAGCTGAGATTCTGGTAATTGCTTGGTATTTGTGGCTGATTATCGATTGCTGCCGGCGGCTCTCAAAATGTTGCTTTATTTTTAAAATTTTCAAAGTTAAATAACTCGGTTATTATTAATTTATTTTAAAAATGGTAAAGAGAAAATATGTTTCTTTTGGCCAGATCTACCACCCCTTAAAATACTTGCAATTATTTCTGGGACACCCAAATTGGTTGGTCTTAATCATGCCAGATCATTTGGTCAATCAATCATTCGTACCACAGGATTGACAAAAAAAGTGACTCTCTTCATTTCACTGTTAGGCAGTATGAAGTTTGTTGCAATTTTATTAAAGACTTATGAACAAAAACGTAACTTTTGTATCAACAAATATATTAGTGCTCCTCTACATCTACCTATTTCTCTGAGTGCTAAATTTACGAAATGCCAGCATTGTTTTTCGAAAAAAGCAGATCAGTCGTCTCGATTAACCATTTATTTTTGAATAGTGCGTTAAAAATTTGGTCCTCGCGGTTGACTCTGCTATAATATAAAAGGGAACATAATAATGCTCAGTCCATACCTATTCCGAAATTGTTTTCTTAAGTAATAATATGCACTGGCCAATACTTTTTTCAAAAGTGACTAACTTCTATAACTTTATTATTCTTTTCGATAAAAAACGAGATTGGTATGTATGTATATGACATAAATCAGGATTGATTGACGTCACTTTCTGTTTCACCGGAAATGACGACAATTTTTGGTTTTTAAACGGCACCCTCGATATTTTTTTACTTTATTCGATAGAAAAGGACATTCTGAATAGAATGACATCCCATATGTCAACTTTTGATATTTTTGTTTAAAAAATAGTACCTATTTTAAATTTTAATATAGAGTGTCATGACTGTGTTCATAATGAAAATTTGACTCTAAATAGCAAGTATGTGGTACGAAGTATTCGTGCTTTTTCTAAATATGCTAATGAAGCCACCCGTTCCATTTGGAAAAATTCAGTTATGATTAAAAATACGATTTGAGCATTTTTAGCCGATCAGAAAATGTGACGAAAAACATTAGATGATCAAATTATTTATTATATTATTAAAGAATTAGTGGTTGCGTTTTCTATCACAGCCATGGCACTCTAGATCGAAATTTATAATACTATTTTTTAAGCTATGTCAAAAGTTAACATATGATATGAAGGGTACACAAGTGAACTGGATCAAGTCCTAGAACATAATTATGGAGAAAATGAGAGTTAAAAAGTTTCTTAACGTTACTTAAATAAAATAAAACAGGCTGGAGAAAAAAACTTGACACAATGTTTTATTATATTATTTTAAATTGTATTAAAAAAGTGCAAACTAAAGTAACTCAAAATACAACAGCGGTCATTTTTAAGAACGTTTGTTTATACTTTTTTGGGCTTGAACCATTTTATCTCTGAAAATATTTGAAATTTTAGATATAAATTGGTTCATCGGTACATTCTTCTTCGTCATTAAGGGATTTGTTGACTTCACATTGTCTATTAATAGTGTTTTCTTCGATTTAAAAAAGATATGGTATATAGGCGGGATAAAGTGAAGAAGGTCATTCACGTGTTGTCTTTTAGAGTGTGTTACGTTACGTCTATATGAAATGATAAGATTTTTCTTTTTCGTGCAGTTTTATTCAGATCAACAACATGTCAGATAAATAAGTATTTGTAAGAAAAACAGCCTAACTTATTGATGTAGTAATAGTGAAAATAATAATAAATCAAACTATACTTTCAGAATCGATAGAATCAGACCTTTCAGATGGTTGATAATCTGATTCACTTGGTGCAAATGGTTAAGACTTTGTTTCATTATCATCCATTTTATCAAAAAAATAATTTTTTAGCTCTAAACTTTAGCACGTGTATTAAAATGGCGCACAGCTTTAAATTTTATGGACATGATCCAGCTCACTTCTGAAAGGAATCAACAGAATATTCGGAAACCAAACAGAAACAGGCTATAGCTGCTTAATGCGTGAAGTATGATTTGATTCATTTCTCTACTGGAAAAACAATATTTCATAAACGTATAAAGACGATTATCTTAAAATAGTAGGAAATTGGACTTGATCAATTTTAATTCTGACCACTCCATATGTCATTCTATACAGAATGTCATTTTCTATCAAATAACGCAGAAAATGCAGTGGGTACCATTTAAAAATCAAAAGTTGTAATAATTTCCGGTAAAACAGGAAGTGACCGAACGTAATTCTATACGCCAATCAATTGTATTTCGATCTAAAAAATAAAAAATGTATAGGGGTGTGCCACTTTTGAAAAACATCCGGTATGGAAGTAGGGATAACGAACATGAATAATACGTAGAAAATAATATGGCTACACATTGATTAAAGATTCACCAAAATAAATTAAAATATAACCAATTAAAAAAAATTATTGAATAACCAAAACTAGTTTAACTATTACTTCTTGGTTAAGTTAAGCCATAAATATAGTTAGAGTTTGCAGGAAAAAAAATGAATTGCAATTGGCCGTGCATATTTTAATTAAAACCTATCCAAAATATAGTTCCTTCTTCCACAAATTAGTAACATTAAATGTACAAATCTTATAAACGTAAAGTTTTTGATACATCTGTATAGTACTTACCTAAACACTTAGTACTTTTAGTTATTTATGTTAATATTATTTAAGGGCTTTGATATACAACTTGTCAAATATAGGATGATATCTGGCTATTTTTAGTACTAGTTTTAGTACTTCTTGGTACTACTTTACTACAAAGTGAGTTTGCGCAGATCAAATGCGCAAACTCAACTTATCCATGCGTTTTTGATATCGAGAAATTTAGTACGGGAGGCCAAGATGTTAAACAGGTATTTACTCGATCATTATATTGTGAAAATTAGATGCTAAAAACAAAAAAGTTTATATATCATTCACTAAAGAATACAAAGACCAATAACCTGAGACCAAATTGTTACCATACCTCCAAACAGTGGCGTGCCACATATTTTTCTTAGCTGCTTGAAGAGATATTTATATTTTTTATAAATGTTTTGACTACGCCTATGGTGTATGCTGCTTCTTCAGGTGGTATCACTCTAATTAATTACAAAAAAGTATTAAAATATTAACAAAAGGTACAAAATTAGTATCGACGTATAGCATCTAAGGACTTCCCTATGGTAAGCGCAAAACAATTTCCGATGCACGTGATCAACTTTGAGTGACAAGCGGTGGCGACAGCGCTGCCAGATTGTGATGGATTTATGAGATGAATCTTAATTTAAAGTCGACAAACAATATATTTATATTATATATCTGTTACAATCATTTGCTCTATAAAGTAAAATGAAGAGCTGCTCGGTATATTAAATTAAACAACAAATTTAAACATTTTTGCCAAAATTTCATTTAGTCAGGTTTATAAACTTTAATGTCAATGTCGATATGATTGATGACGTGCATCGGAAAATGTTTTGCGATTACAATACTAATTCATATATCATGCAATATTCGACAAGTTGTACTATTAACAATTTCATTTTTCACAATAATCATTCTTAGTACATATATTGGTGTTATGATTTACTTTTGGTCTACTTAAACTTCTTCTCCCCATCTCAAGAACAGAAAAAACATGCACCTCCAAAATATCTTCGTTCTCCGATCAATCTGCGGGAGATTCGTCTCCTGAATCGCCGCCTGGTCAAGGTGAGTCGTTTGAATCGCTTCCTAGTGAGTGGATGGGAAACAAGGGGTACCAACCGATGTTTAGGTAGGTCAGGGTGAGTGAATCCAGAGCTACTTCTGCCCCGCCCAAACCTTGGTTGTGCTCGAAACCACCCTGACGTTCCCAGAGCATGACCACCTGGAAAAAACAGCCAGTTAAAATGTCAGACAAGTAATACAAGTACATATAGTTCATATCAATTACACTGTTAGTCACATGATTAAGCTTGACCGGTACAGCGTTGCTCACTTTTACATATTTTCTTTTACTCAAAATATTTTAGGAAACAAAAATAAATCCATCCATACATATATAAAAGCTCAAAGGGTTTTTTTGTTACATCCATCCCGCCGAAACCGCGTCACCAATCTTGATGATTCTTTTTTTTTAAATAAAAGGTATATATGTCTAGATTTGTTATGAAGTATTTTTATATCGTTTAATCGCTATTTCTTTATGTAAAACGAATACATATTAAAACATACCTGAAAAACACCTACACACAATACCTCCAGAAATAAATTATTTGTGATTGTCAGTGGTGTGTCTGTGTCAGTTAGATTATACAGGGTGTTTCAAAACAAATGCGAAAAACTTCAGGGGGTGATTCCTTGTTCAAAATAAAGGGTAGTTTGCTTCATAAACGTTGGGTCAAAAGTCAACCATTAGGGAGGTATTGCGGTACAAAGATGGCGGAAAAATAATGTTTTTATTTTTTATCTTGAAAACGAAAAGAGATAGACTAATAAAATTTTATGGAAGCATTACTGTTAGGAAAACACACTGTCTGTCCTGACATGTAATGCTTTACATTTTATTTTTTAATTTCCAATCGGTGAGTTTTATCAAAAAAACACAAGAGGTAAAAAAGTTTCTAAACAAACTAGACTATCCAAATTAAAGCATTTGCATGTGTTTGATAAGATTTTTCTTTAAATTTCATTAACAAGAATGATGAATAGTTTATTTCAACCCCTTCCACGCATTTTAAAAAAATAAAAAAATTACCTGAAAGTGTGTTTTCATAACAGTAATGCTTCCATAAAATTTCATTATTCTATCTCTTTTCGTTTTCAAGATAAAAAATAAAAACATTATTTTTCCGCCATCTTTGTACCGCGATATCTCCCTAATGGTTGACTTTTGACCCAACGTTTATAAAGCAAACTACCCTTTATTTTGAACAAGGAATCACCCCCTAAAGTTTTTCGCATTTGTTTTGAAACACCCTGTATATCAAGTTTTTAGATATTTTAGGGGTCAGTTCATACCGCCAGCTTTAGATACATAAATATTAGCACAAAGGTTTATTTAAATGACATTAGTGATTAGTGAATTAGCTACGTAAAGCGATTTTAGGAAATTCATCCTCTAAGAGTGTAAAATTATGTCGAACAATTTGTTGTATGAAAATTCCTTACTATCTGATCTAGAAGAATGAAAGGTAACAGTTGCATATACGGTTTTCGGCTATTCTATTGACCTTAGAGATTGTAAATATACAATGATTTCTGAATAAAATAGTTCTTCATAGTTTTTTTGAAGAAATTTTACATTAAAGCTTAATCAAAGGATTGTAAAATGGTTGTGTTATGAGTATCTTTAATCAGAATATTGTTTTTACCCCATAAAATGTATATATACCTTCGTGCATGTAAATGTATATATACCTTCGTCTTCAGACTCTGGATTATACACATAAAAATTTGCACAAAGGATCATTTAAAAGACATGAGTTAATTATTTGGACAAAGCGAATTGTTGAAATTCATACCCTTAGGTTTTAGGGTAGGGAATGAAAGTTTGCTGTATGAAAATGCATTATTATAACATCTAGTTAATTATAAATACTTAAGTTTATAATCATCTGCTGATGATGCTAACATGGTTAGCGAAACGCGCGTCCAGTGTAAAAGTAAAAGTGTTTTGGTGTATTGTGGTGATTTAGTGTTTTTATTTTGATAAATACTTAAACAGTTATTATTTACATCAACGAAACTCACCTCCTCAACAGTACTTAAGGAACATAAAGGGCCATTACTATCGCTTTCCCGTTCAAAATATTCTAATAAAGTTGTGATGAGTTTTTTACGGCTATTAAGCTATCTTGTACACTTCGCACTAAAAGAGGTTCTAAATAGAACAATATTCGACTGCAAGGTCTGCTAGTAAAAAAAATTAAGCTTAAAGTATCACAACACAATTCATTTAAACCAAAAACTCGTAATACCAAACTAAAGTGTCAAAACGAATGATAATGCCATGAAATAAATAAATAAATGTGGCAACCTGACTTTTTTACAGTAGAGCTACCACCTGAATCCCCAGCGCGAAATTTAAATTCCAGTTAGTCAGCCCGGCGCTGAATATGTTAATGGTTGGCAACAATGAATTTAAAAATCGCGCCCTCGATTACGTAACTAAAAGTTCAATTGGTATCGAATATATCTCGGTTATCTTATAACTAATAGAAAACGTGAAAACTGAATTCCATAGAGTTTTTCATGTAGAATTCAGTGCGTAACTAGATTTTTGCTGGGAGCTGTTATTTTCAAAATATGACTCAAACTTATGTTTTTTTTAAATAGGACACTCTTTATATTATTTTTTGTTTTATTAGTAAGCTGTAAAAGAAATTTTTAAGGATAGAAGGTTGCACACTATGAGACCTAATAAGAAGGGAGCAGATAAGGAGAGAGGTCTCATTAAAATGGAGTCAACTAAGACAGCATATATAGAAAGAACGAATGATGAGACATAGGTTGGTGAAATAAGTAGTAACACTACAAACAAAAGAAAAGAAGAGACCTGGATAGATCCAGAAGAATGTTGAATTAATGTAAATATAAAGACAAAACATATTTTAAGCCTAATCCTAAAAGTACAAAAAAAGAAGAACGAATGAAGGTAGGAAAGAAATAGCTTATACTAACCAAACTGCGTCCTAGAACGTCACAAGCTTGGTACTTGAGCGTCTGCCTGAACTGGGGCTCGCAGGAGTGTCTACACACGCGAGTTTTTTTCTTCTGCAACCATTTCTCACCGTCTCGCAGATAGCACTTGACGTATGTGTCGGGTGGGGTTTCTTTTTGAGCAATGTGTCGGGCACATACCACCTGGAAAACATAATTTTTTATAAAACATCATTAATTTTTACTAGTGAAACATCTAGACCGTTAAATGTTCAAATAACAGTCCTGAGAGGGTACTTTACATTAGGGTAGATAGTACTACTGGTGGTACTTCAAACTACTTTATTTTTGACGCTCTGAAAACTTTGACCTACAGAAAATGGTAAAATGGTTCATTATTTTGCTTAATATTTTTTAATAGCTCTGTATAGTACACACAACCAAACTTATATGGAATCACTCTTTATTTCTAACTAAATTTCTTGCAAGGATAAAATTTGGTATACAACTTTAAGATAAAGCATTTTGTTTTAAATAAACATGATAATAAAGAATAAACGACTGCTGCGATTTATTTTCTTTTGAATTTTGTGTTAAGCAGTAAAATCACGATTGGTCCAGTAATTTTCATTCGATCCAAAAAAATTAAAAAATGCCTTATGTTGGATAAAAGTTGTATAGAGGGGAAGAATTATTGCTCTCACCAAACAAGGAATGCTCCAAAGAGACGTAGTACAGATAGTAGGCGTTACGCAGGGGGTTGTATCAAAAACATATGCAAGGTACTTGGAATTAGGAACACACAAGGATAGGCCCAGACAAAGTCGTCAAAGAGTCACAACTGAACAATAAGACTAAGAATAAATCCCAATGTTTCTCATCCAGAGCTACAAAGACAACTTCTGGCAGCTACAAGTGTGAACATTTCAGTTGAAACCATAAGAAAAAGGCTTCGTGCTCGAGGGTTTTACAGTAGGAGAGAGTTACGGATCCCACAGTTATCTCGGCAAAATAAAATTGACCGGCTAAATTGATGCCTTCAATATCAAAACTGGACAACTGAGAATTGGCAAAATGTTCATTTTTCGGATGAAACCAGAATTGACCCAAGATCAGATAACCATCGAATTCGGGTTCTCAGAGCTCCAGGAAGACGAGCGAGACTTCAGGCTGCCAAATCTGTACCAAGATATAAAGGAGGAACTGTAATGTTCTGGGGAGGTATTATACTGGGAGCAAAAACTCCATTGTTACCACTTCAAACTTTAACGGGTCGGAGATATGTTGATTTGGTGCTAGAACCAATCGTTAGTCTTTGGAGAGCTGCAATTGGGGATAATTTTAACTTCTTGTACGATAGTGCACCTCCTCATACCAGCAGAGTGACTAGAGAACGTCTTGAAACGGAAGATGTCATAGTTTTGGACTGGCCTGCATGTTCACCAGATCTAAACCCTATCGAACACTTGTGGGACTAGCTCAAAAGAAGGGTTATAGCTCGTCGAAACAATGCAGGAAATCTTGCACAGCTTATTGATGCAGCAAAACATACCCCAAGACAACGTTGATAATTTAATAAGAAGCATGCCAGCGTGGATAGAAGCTTGCATAAGGACTAGAGGTGGCAACAAAGGAATATTAAAATTATCAATTTTCTTTTTGTTTTTACTTTTTGGCCATTAAAAATTTAAATCTTAATTTCGTTTCAGAAACCAAAAAAATACAATTTTGTTTATTTTGGGAACTGATTATTTTTTTTATTGCTATATGGATTATTTTTCATTAAAAGTCATTAGTAAGGACTGAGTTTTATTCATAAACGCGAAATTTTCATACATCTGAAAAACTATGAAAAATAATAGATGATTCCATATAAGTTTGGTTGCGATTGTGTATATCATTAAAAAGCTGTAGGACACAAATAGACAAATTAGAGACAATAACCACATAAATAACACAGTTGACTATTATATTAAAAATTTATTAAAATTAAGCAGTATTTACCTCTACTTCTAGTTGTCCTTTGGTCATGAGCAAACCCAGTTTGATTTCAACTGGTTTGGTACCGGATAATCTAAACCCTCTGGGTTTGATCTGTCCCGGCCCAAGCCTTGGAGGCGAAGCCCTTTCTGGACTACTAGGAGGACTATTGTCCTTTTCTTTCTCCTTCTCTGGAACTTCCATGACGCTATTTTTTCGCACTTCGGATCGATTAGAAACTGCACTCGACCCTGAAAGAAATGTACAATATATTGGCTCAAGACTACGAGAATTTGGAATATATGACCAGCAAACGAATTGAAGAATATGACAAGTGGGGGCTGGAGGTAAACCTTAAGAAGACAGAATATACTCGTATATTCCGTCTTCTTAAGGTTTATCGGCGGCAAACAAGAGAACTTAGTCTTAGAATAAACAACAGCAGGGGATAAAACTCTGCCAAAAATATAAATATCAGGGCATGCCCATTACTAACGATGCCGATGGTAGCCTTAATGTAGAAAGTAAGTACAGAAATAACCAGAAGTTCGGAAGACAAGTAAGACAACTCAACAGTATTATATGGTACTAGCGTGTATAAGTTGATATTTATTTAACATTCTTTTTCTGATTATATGAAGACTAGCGTGTACCCGCGACTTCGTTCGCGTCGAATTAATCATTTGTAATGGTGATGATAAAGCAAAGCAAGAATTTCCATTAACATACAAACTGGATAAAATTTTCTCACATTTATGTCAGCATGAGAAAAAACAATATGGCGATATTATTATATAACTTGGTAATATTTGAGGGGTAGTTTCATCTCGTTGGAATTTGACTTTCGAAAAATCCGTTTGCCAAAAATAAGCTTTTTACGTCAAGCAGTTTAAGCGTGGTTAAGAATCGTGGTTAAGAAATTACCCAGCTTTTTGGTATGTATTTTTGGTATGCAACACCCTGTATGATTTTTTTGAAATGAACATTTCAAAATACATAAAAAAATCAAATAAATTATGCTTGTCCAAGCGTTTTCCCGAGAGACTAACCGTTTTTTAAATAACAAATATTGTAATATTTGAGGGGCGTTTTCCCCCTCTTGGAATTTGAGATTCGAGAAACCCCTCCTTATCGAACCTCTACATCACACAGTTAATCCGTTTGCCAAAAATCAGTTTTAAGCAGAATCGTGATTACTCAATGGTCATATTTTAGGAAACACCCTGTATAAATTTATAAAAAATCTTAAAATATGTAAAACAACAAAATAAAATATACGTGTTTAAGAGTTTTTCCGAAAAACTTACCGGTTTTTAAATAAAAAATATTTTAATATTTGAGGGATAGTTTCACCTCCTTAGAATTCGAGTTTCGAAAAATCCCTTCTTATCGAACTTCTACACCCTAAAGTCAATCTGTTTTCCAAAAATCAGCTTTTTACGTCAAGCGCTTTAAGCAGGATCATGATTAATCAATTACCAGATTTTTCGAAACACCCTGTATACATTTTTAAATAAAATATGTAAAAAACAAAATAAAATATACGTGTTTAAGCGTTTTTTCGGAAACTTGACCGTTTTTTAAATAAAAAATATTGTAATATTTGAGGGGTGGTTTCACCCTCTTGGAACTGGAACACCCTGGAATCAACCTGTATACCAAAATTGAGCTTCTTACGTTGAGTGGTTTGAGCAGGATCGTGATTAATCAGTATGTCAGTCACTTAAGGATTTTATATATTAGTATAGATAATGCCGGGTCCAGACCAAGCAGACAAAACAACGACAAGACAGCAACATTCATGTTTTACGACAAAATTGCGACAAATCCAATACATTTCTGCAACGTTTTTGTCTCATTTTTGTTTTGTTTCAAAATTCGGTAACTTTTCAATGTCTCGTTTCGAGTCAGTAAAGATCAAAGTGTCTATGTTTTGTTTGTATATTTTACAAGTTGTCGGCGCACTGTGGATGGAGTGTGTACTTTTGCGGTGTGGACAACTTGTCTCAAGTTTGTCTTGTCAGAATTCCCCATTTTTTGTCGCAAGTTTGTCTTGTTTTTGTCTCGTGTTTACTTTTTGTCGCTTTTGTTACTTTTTGTTGCCTTGAGACCCCGCATAAGGCAGTATCAAAACAAAACAAACGCAAAATTAACAACAGCATAGTTGTTATATTTTCTTTTCAGTTTTAGTAGTTATAGTATTGCAGTGATTTTAACATTAAATATTGTTGTTGATTTGACAACACTCTGTAATATTATAAGGATAGTTTTAATTTTCAAGATAGACAGCAACAGGCGGTCTGACGGAAAGGTCGAGATTTATTTTATTCAATTTTTTCAGTTAATTTTTTTTATAACGGTTTCATAGTGGCTATCAATTATAATGCGGTTATCCTTTTTCCCTTTTTGCCCATCCCTTATATTCACAGAAATACCGAATATCGAAACAGAAACCAAGCTTCAATCTGGGTAAGTTTTTTTAATAATTTTTTAAACAAATTACTTGAAAATTCATAACCAGCGAAACTTATTTTACTAGGTCCTTCGACTTAAAAGAATTGAAATAGACATTGTAATAGTTAAAAGCATCATTAGTTATGGTAGTGAAGTATGGCCTTTGAAAGAAAAAAAACTTCAAGTCACTAGAAGTTACAGAAATGGACTTTTGGAGTTGGAATGGGCGTTAAACACAGAATAACAGAATACATAAAAATTAACCAATTTAGGTGGTACGAGCACGTACAAAGAATGGAAGAGGGCAGGATCCCAAAGAAAGTACTCAATTGGATACCACAAGGTAAAAGAAAGAGAGAATCTAGACGGAGTTGAAGAGAAGGAATAGACGGGGACACCAGGATAAGAGGAATAGACGAAAACTTCTGGACAGACAGAGACCAATGAAGACTGGAAATCAAAAGACGGCGAAGAACGTTACGAACTGATTTGTGTAGATATAGTTGATCATACTTACTTCTTCGTTTGTCAGCTGTCAGGCTCATGGTCCTTCCCAATTCCCCTTTAACTGCTTTCAGAGATTTCAATATCTCTTCTGGGTCTCTTAACATTCTGGTGCAACTACTTCTTCGGCGATCTCTAGAGTATGAAGGAGGAGGTGGAGCAGCAGGCTGTTCCTAAAGGGAACATATCAGTTTAAAATAAAATCAGTATTAGTCCAATCACTTTAAGGTTTAAAAAAAATAGAGAGTCGTTTGATAGGACTTTATGTTAGTTTTTTATTAAAATTGGAAGGTAGTACAATTAATTATGATTAACACTGTAAAATACCTGTTCTGCTTGTTCTTGTGCGCTCTGGAAGGATGATCTTCTAGACCCAGGTAACGATCTGGAGAAATCTTTGCCCAGTTGGTACACTTCCACTTCCAGTTGTTCGGACTGTGAAGAACCTCTTCTTGAACCCCAAGCGTGGTCTGGATGCAGTAGACTGGCACACTCTCCTGCAAAACAAAGCAATATATTATAGTCTTATATTTATACAATAAATAATATACAGGGTGTCAAAAAATAGTGTATCTAACTTTTGTGGGTGATTCTACAGATAACAATAAAACAATTAATTATACATATACGGGGTGGTCCGAACTGTATTCCGGAAACTTCGACAGCATATATTCTGCAGATAAAAATATGTAAAAAAGTTCGTATACATGTATATCCTAAAATGCTTACTTTCGGAGATACAGGGTATAGAAGTTTCATTTTTATTTCGATTTTTTCCAAATAATTCCTAAAGTAACATCAACATTTGGATGAAAATTGATGTCCAGGAGTTTTTTGACATGAGAAATTTGATTTTGATGTCAATATGACTCAACAAGACTATAGAGGTACGGACTTTTCGTCCGTACCTGTATAAAACTAATGAGTGCAAAAATATTCATTTCCGTGATCTTTTACGTAAAAAATGTCTCTTGGTAAAAATATCTACGACCAACCGTTCTCAAGATATTTAGAATGGGAACAGTCGATACATGTCATCATTGACAAAAAATAAGCATATGTTTAGTAGATAGTTATTTGTCTAAAATGATAAATTTGGGAAGTTTTTATTTTTTTAAATTAATAATAAATTTTTCTTTGAAAAAATGATGATAAAACAGTTTCTGTTGAATTTTTGGCACAAAAACATTTCAAATTTATGATTTCAGTCTATTAACTACCGTATGATCGAATAAAAACGGCGTCAACGATGGCTATGAAATGAAGATCGCTGTCATTTTATATGTAAATTTATATGGGAAATGTCATCGATCGTCATTTCCAAGCCAACTGGACGCCGTTTTTTTCGATCATACGGTATTTAGTCAACATGTTCAATTTATGTCAATGATGACAGGTATTGATAATTTCCATTCCAAATATCTCGAAAATCATTACTCGTAGCGATTTTTACCAAGGGACTTTTTTTACGTAGAAAACGTCTTAAATGTAAATTTTTTACTCAGTAGTATTATACAGGTACGGACGAAAAGTTATTACTCTTCAAACCAGTTAAAACATATGTAGGTGGCGCCCTCTACTAGTAGCAGTCATGTTGACATCAAAATCAATTTTCTCATGTCAAAAAACTCCCAGACACCAATTTTCATCCAAATATTGACGTTACTTCAGAAATTATTTGGAAAAAATCGAAATAAAAATGAAACTTCAACACCCTGTAACTAAGCATTTTAGGACATACATTTATACGAACTCTTTTACTTATTTTTATCTGCAGAATATGATGGCGAAGTTTCCGGAATACAGTTCGGACCACTCTGTATATATTAATAATATCTGCTATTCCCGAAAGGCCATCTCATAACTATCCACTTAGGAATGCGGAGCACGATCTTTATCTGCCAACCACGAGTTCATAACTAGTTAAAGGTTCAATACTGTACAGGGTGTCCCATTTTAGTTGAAATCATACGGTATCTCCGTTATTCGTGAAGATAGAAGGGTGGGGTTTGCACAAACCTGTGCCACTTTTTTGTCAAACAAAAGATGCCGTGAACAAAATTTTCATAGCTCTCTTCGTTTCTGAGCTACAGGGTCTTATTGAATTTTTTTCAATTTGAGACACTCCCTGTATCTCTGTTATTGTTAAAGGTATCGAGAAGGTAAAAACTGTTTATTGTAGAACATTTTACGTAGAATACAGTGGCGTAGTCTGTTATTCTAGGAAAAGAATATTTTTAAAGTTATGTTTTCTTAAATGGAACATCCTGTATATTTATAAATTATGACCTGGCTTGCCATAAGCTTCGCAAAAATATATATCACTCTATATTTATTTTCAATATTTACTGCAATCTTTAAAAAAATATATTAAAAGATCATATTTATTAGTAGGCCATGATTAATAATAAAAGAAACTAAAGAATTATTAAAAGTATACTGCTATCTGTCTCTTGTTTTATTTTGAGAGCCACTAATAAATTCTTTATATATTAGTGAAACTTAACTTTATACCGCTATTTGTAAATCCTGGAAGCTATCGTATCGGAACTCTTAAATATTCTTTTAGCTATATAATTTACGTGAAATATACTTTCAGCTAAGATGGAACTCCCACTCACAACTTAACTTACAACGAAAATATTAGAATTTTTTTAAATTATTATTTCTCAAATCAATGAATAATTGGGGAACCAATGGACCCATATGATGGCCTCCCTGAGTACTGGATTTGTCCTTTCTCGATTTCTGATTTTGGGGATTTTTGAAATATGAAATATATCGTGGCAACTAACACAATTGTCGAACACCTGGAATTTTTTTTAATAATGCAAGCTTTTAGATATTTGCAAACCCATTCCGTTATAATAAATTCCGTTAAAAAAAAGAAAAAAATATATTCAGAGATTGAGTGGTAACAATTCAAAAGTAAAATATATCAATTCCAAACAAAATTTTAATAAGTGTATGACTATTTTAGTAAATACTATTTTGATTTTTTGTTATTTATCACGACCTACTATGATATATTTTAGATATTGCCGTAAATAGTGAAAATAAATATAGAATGATATATATTTTTGAAAAGCTCATATCAAGGCGGATCATATGATTTATAAATATACAGGGTGTTCCATTTGAAAAAACACAAGTTTAGTTCATATTTTCAAAAATATTTTTTTCGTCGAAAAATAGCCTACGCCGCTGTATTCTACGTAAAAAGTTCTACAAGAATCAGTTTACACCTTCTCGATATCATCCATAATAACGGAGATACGGGGCCTGTCCCAAATTGCAAAATTTTCGAAAAGGCCCTGTAGCTCAGAAACGAAGAGGGCTATGAAAATTTTGTTGAGAGCATCTTCCGTTTAACAAAAAAGTGGCACAGGTTTGTGCAAACCGCATCCTCCTATCTTTACTAATAACGGAGATATCGTATGATTTCAACCAAAATGGGACACCCTGTACAATGCCAAAAAAATGTACAGGGTGAGTCAACGATAGAGTAATTATCTCATTTGTTTCGAGGTTTACAAAAATGTTGAATATAAAAGTTATAGGGAAGGTTAGGATACACATTTTAAAATTATTATAGAGTATACAGGGTGCTTCAAAAATGTGTAGCGGATATAACATATGTTTTTTTAAATGCAACACCATATTTTTTATTTTATTTTTAGATTCTGCGTAAAATTCCATAACTTTTTTATATATAATGTTATATACCTAAAATTAATAGTTTTTGTAATATTTTAATTTGTTTAAACAAATATTAAATTGCAGTGTGATAAAAAACTGTCAGTGGTACCATTGTTTCTGAAGTTGGAATACCAAAATTTGGTATGACAATTTTATAAAGATGAAAAAAAAGATAAATGTTAAGATATTTTAGTTAAATGCTACAGGGTGTTTAAAATATACTTATGAATTTCAACTACTTAAAATTAAAAAATCTGAAATTTTTTAAATGGTACACCCTATATATTTTAATTTTTTCTGATAGATTTTACAAAGCTCTTCAACTTTTATTAAATATGTCATATACCTGTTTTTAATAGTTTGCGATTTATTCCAATTTTTTCTGTTTTACCATATCTTTAATACAATAATTAGGTACGCTAAAACATCATAGTTGCCATAACAAAAAATAATAATTATCAAAATTTCATATGTCTGTTAAGCAAGTTAAGAACAAAACGTAAATTTTAGTTTAGTTTGTTGTAATAAGTATAAATGGTAGAGGTAGAGATAATAGTTACAGATTTTCCCGAAAATAAATTACTCAATGTGACTGATATACACACACAAGCCAAGGTAAACATATTTTTGGCTCAGTACTATATATTATATAGTACTTTGCTAAGTACTATAAGAGTAGATGTAGATTATCTAGATTATCTAAACATTTTCATATTATATTATATTATTTTCAGTGTGTAATGGGACGGTTTCGCGGCCGTAGTAATAATGGCTTTACGAAATGAATTATAAACCAGAATTACTACGAGAAAAATTTTTTACTGTATGTCGAAAAAAATTCCTATATCAGTAGTCGTCAACAACTAGATAATCTAGTTTGTATTACCCTAATCTGTGGCTATAAATTAGCCCCGACGGGAAAATCCAAGTGTTTATCTTTCATAATATAGAAATACACCAAGAAATTCACGACTATGATTTTAGTTGACTTGAGTATATTTAATTAATTTTAACTAATAATATTGTAATTGTAACTAATTATTAAACTACTTGTTAAAGATAAGTAATAAATACTTTCGTTTTGTCACGGTAATTATGATGTTATAGCGTAATTGTATTAAAAATAAGTGTAAAAATGGAAAAAATTGGAATAAATCGCAAACTATTAAAAATAGGTATATAACATAATTAATAAAAGTTGAAGAGCTTTGCAAAATCTATCAGAAAAAATGAAAATATATAGGGTGTACCATTTAAAAAATTTGAGATTTTTTAATTTTAAGTAGTTGAAATTCATATATTTTGAACACCCTGTAGCATTTAACTAAAATATCTTTACATATATCTTTTTTTCATCTTTATAAAACTCTCATACCAAATTTTGGTATTCCATCTTCAGAAACAATGGTATCACTGACAATGTTTTATCACTCTGCAATTTAACATTTGTTTAAACAAATTCAAATATTACAAAAACTATTAATTTTAGTTATATAACATTATATATAAAAAAGTTATGGAATTCTATGTAGAATCTAAAAATAAAATAAAAAATAGGGTATTGCATTTAAAAAAACATATGTTATATCCGCCACACTTTTTTGAAACACCCTGTATACTCTACAATAATTTTAAAATGTGTATCTTAACCTTCCCTATAACTTTTACATTTAACATTTTTTTGTAAACCTCGAAACAAATGAGATAATGGACTTTACTCTATCGTTGACTCACCCTGTACAACCATATTATGCCTTTGAATATCAACTCGCTTTCATTATTTCCCGCATTTCGCAAAGCTCTGAAATCATGCTTACTGGAGACGACTATTTTACGACTTTTTTGTTGATGTTTAATCATGAACAATTTTGAATTTTAAAATTTTGATTATCTCACACGCTGGTCAAAGGTCAAGTATTTAATATTTTATAACTCTTAAAATTATATCTATTTACTGCTTGCTGTTCTGCAATTGTCCATGTATGTTCTTTTTGTAATTTTAATGACTTAATTTTTTTGAATTGTATGATTTGTATTGTGTATTTTTTGTTGTTTGTATATTTTTTTGTGCTTTTGTTTGTTTTGTTGAAGCTGTTTTGACTTTTTGCACAATAAAGCGTTGTTTGTTGTTGTTGTTTGTTAAAGTTCCTATGAACATATGCCCTAAAATGGGACGGGAAGAGATATATTTCCTGAAACGTTAAGCATTTTTTTGTCCGTTAGACAAATTTGTTTATTAGTATACCACTGCTGACAATGAGTCTCCTTTGGATTAACGCGGCAGTGTTTACAAAAAATAACTAATATTTTATTCTGTAGATTTTCTTAAAGTGGCGAAATACCTATATAACTTTTTTAAAATTAAAAGGAATTAATGAAAGAATGATCAAACTTATATTTTCAAAAAGTTCTTTTTTAATTACTTGTTTTTACCTGTAAAACCTAAGAAAAAAAAATGGAAAGCTATTCAGAAAGTCATTAGATAGATCTAGTAGGAGGATAATTGAGTTTTCCAAATGGCATTCGTAAACGGTCGAAAGCAATTAAAAACTTTGCGATGTTTAGATGAAAATTGGAGAGAGCGAATGGCATGGAACGTTTTTTGAAGACTAGTTTTCATTTGGAACTTTAAGAGTAATTTATTGAGGAAATTTGAATAGGAAGATGCCTATCTCAGTCTTTGCAGTTTTTCTGCTTTTTTTTTCGCAAGCTAAAATTTATCTTATTTAAATTTTAATCTCAAAAAGAAAATTAGATAAGTTTTTAACGTTTCTTCTTTAGTAGAGAAATATTTGTCCAATAGTTTCTGAACCATAGAGTTAATTCCGAACAGACTTCAATACTAATATCTATTTCTGTACTAAAAAAAACTTTAAAAAATATATTAGCCGAACAGAAGAATACGAACTTCCACTAGCTATAGCATTTATAGATTTCGAGAAGGCTTTTCGAAACAAGGAATAGACATGCCTTATACCGGGTGCGTCTCAAAAGTGGCTCACCCATATAACTTTTTTATTTTTTCAGTTAAAAAACGAGACTTGGTGTGTTAGTATGTGACATAAATTAGGATTGATTGACGTATTCAATTGTTTTTGGTCACTTCCTGTTTCACCGGAAATGACTACAACTTTTGATTTTTAAATGGCATCCTCAGTATTTTTTAAATTTATTCGATAGAAAATAACACTCTGAATAGAATGACATGCCATATGTCAACTTTTGACATTTTCGCATATGATTTATTTGATATTAAAACTTGCGGTTCGTAACGAAAATTTGACTCGAAATGCCAAGTGTGTGTTAACAAATTATTCGTAAAAAAATGCTTTTTCCAAATATGCTAATGAGCTACCCTCGTTCCATTTGAAAAAATTGAGATATGATTAAAAATACTATTTGGGCATTTTTTAACCGGCCAGGACAAGACACTAAAAACATTAGACGATCAAATCTATTTTTCCAAGGCTCCTTGATTAAGAATTAGTGTTTTTAACATAGCCATGGCACTCTAGATTGAAATTTAAAATACATTTTTTATTAAGCGAGAATGTCAAAAGTTGACATATGGTACGTCATTCTATTCAGAATATCATTTTCTATCGAATAAAGTAAAAACATACCGGGGGTGACATTTAAAAATCAAAAGTTGTAGTCATTTCCGGTAAACCAGGAAGTGACTAAAAACAATTGAATGCGCCAATCATTCCCAATTTATGTCATATACTAACATACAAAAAAATGTTTTTTTTTATCTAAAAAGATAAAAAAGTTATAGGGGTGAGCCACTTTTGAGACGCACCCTGTATAGAAGAGTTTCAAAAAACATGTGCCATCTCTCGTGGGGAAATTCCTCACGTAAAAATAAGATTTATTTTTCATATCAATATAGGTTCGATTCTGCTTTGTTTCGTAGCTACAGGGTGTTAAAATCTTAATAATCTTTTGATTTATTACCTACTTATAATTTTCTTCCAAGTACGTTTAGTGATTCGAATAAAATTTTGAGGGTAAAAGTTACTATAAGTGCTACATATTTTAAAGGTAAAAAAGTGTCGATAAATCCATCAGGGACATGCATATGGGCATGGGTTATCATTGAAATATTTAAAAGAAAACATGTGCGCCACTGACTTTTTTCTTTTGATATCAACATTGGATAGGACGTTTAATACCAATTAAAAGTTATTTCTTGATATTTTGTCGAATTCGGCATTCTTGATGATATAAACGCAGTTTTATTACCTTACACACCCGACAATCCTGTGTGATTATGCTCCCCATATCATCATCGAGTTTGGTCCACGAATCTTTTGTTTTCAGTGGCAAAAAGATATTTAATCACCCGCCACTGAAGATAAGAAAAATATATCCTCATAGAGCTTTTAAAAAGGCTGTCACGTCCTTGCTGGTTGCGAGGACATATTATGACGTGGAGTTTTTTTTTATTCTATTCTACTCTATTTTTATTTGTAGATATTTATTTATTATTTTTTTAAATTAACTAATAAACGTATTATATATATATATATATATATATATATATATATATATATATATATATATATATATATATATATATATATATATATATATATATATATATATATATATATATATTAAGTCTATATTATATAAAAAGTTTCTTAAACTAATAAACGTATTTGTAAGTTTTTTGTATATTTATTGCTATCTTCTATTTTTGTTTTTATTATTTTGACAAAGTTTTGTGTTTGTTTTATGTTTATTTATTATTTGTCACAGTTTTGTAAACAAGAGAAATCTTATAACAATAAAGCAATGATTGATTTATTGATTGATTGATCACAATTAATAATATTAAAATAAAAATAAAATTAATAAAGTATATATTTTACCTAATTTATTATTAAATATTAATACTATTATACTATTAGTTGTTATATTAGTCCAATCTACAGCAATTTAAAATAAAAAATAATGGTACCTATTTAAGACAACTATAAAAAACTAATTTAAAAAAGTTAATCATGTAACTCTAAAACGATGCATTTCCATACCCATATTTATAGGAACTTTTTTTCATATTTTTTTATGATGAATCAATGAGTACTTATTTAAAACTTTCGCAAGTTAATAAAATGATTAAAATTTGTTAAATTGCTAGACTTGGACCAAGGCAAATTAATAAAATTGCGGTTATCTCATCAAAGACGCCGAAATAGATGTCATCTACAGTTAAATCTACAGTTAAATCAAATCATTAAGTGGCCAAGGGTAGGACACATTTTGTATTATTTAATTTTCGGTTTGTTTTGAAGCTATTGATAACTAATCCTATAAATCTTGATCGGTCCGTAGCTTACCGATAGAATCCACATCATCAGAGACGCTTCTTTGATTTCCAAAGTCGTTCCTTTTGCCAGTTCCAGCCACCGAACCTCTTGGTGAAGTGTGAGGAGATCTTCCTCTAAGTTGCCTGGGATCTTCCAGTCTGCACCATACTGCTCTGTCATCCAGAAACGCCTACGGAAAAAAAACTCATATTATAAACGTATTTATTTAACAAGTTATTAAAAACGATTTTCTGTCAAACTTCACTATAGAATTAATTTCTACGACGTGACTGACAATATAAAAAAGTCATTTTAACGCCTAGGCATAAAAGTAAAGCACTTTTACGCCTAAGCATAAAAGTACGAAAATATATTATTAATCCACAAAACATCCCCCTTTAGAATTTTGACTTATATGTCATTAAATAAAAATAAAAGAAGCGCCCTCTTGAGTTTGTTCACTAAATACATGAACTATCGATCCCTATATTTAATTTATTTTTTTTGAATATTACAGTAACATTTTTTTAACTGTAACGAAATAAGTATATTCAAATTACATTATATATTAAAAATTATAATAAAAATTGTTATTTATATATGTCACTGTAAATGTCCGAAATGCGGTAAAACCTAGGATAAGCGCGCTAAACCTAGGATTTACCAAAAGCAAGAATTACTAGGGTTTTTACTACCACTTGCTTATTCGTACTTTTAGCAATGCGGTGTGGTAAATCCTAAGATTACTCTTTGGGTCCGTAAAGTCCGAAATGGAAGCAAAATAAATAGTTTTCGGGCTTTTACCACATGTTTTTGGTAAATCCTAGGTTTAGCGCGCTTATCCTAGGTTTTACCACATTTCGGACATTTACAGTAACATATCTATACTAATATATAAAATCTTTAAGTGACTGACATACTGATTAATCACGATCCTGCTCAAACGACTCAACGTAAGAAGCTCAGTTTTGGCATACAGGTTGATTCTAGGGTGTAGAGGTTCGATAAGAAGGGATTTTTCGAAATACCAGTTCCGAAAGGGTGAAACCACCCCTCAAATATTACAATATTTGTTATTTAAAAAACGGTTAGTCTCTCGGGAAAACGCTTGGACAAGCATAATTTATTTGATTTTTTTTATGTATTTTGAAATGTTCATTTCAAAAAAATCATACAGGGTGTTGCATACCAAAAATACATACCAAAAAGCTGGGTAATTTCTTAACCACGATTCTTAACCACGCTTAAACTGCTTGACGTAAAAAGCTTATTTTTGGCAAACGGATTTTTCGAAAATCAAATTACAACGAGATGAAACTACCCCTCAAATATTACCAAGTTATATAATAATATCGCCATAATGTTTTTTCTCATGCTGACATAAATGTGAGAAAATTTTATCCAGTTTGTATGTTAATGGAAATTCTTGCTTTGCTTTTTCATCACCATTACAAATGATTAATTCGACGCGAACGAAGTCGCTGGTACACGCTAGTATAACATTTAATTTAATTTTAATATACCAATTTTGTCACAGTAAAAAATGTTTATAACAATACCCGATCGAACGTTTATAAAAATAAAACAATTATTGATGTTATTATAAACTATGTATTTTACATACATTTAAACTGAAAAAAAAACGTACAAAACAACTCGAATTTTTCAACTCGGGGATTTGGAAAATGAAGAAACTGCCATTTTTGTTGTCGCAATTAGGAACGCTACAGTTCTTCGCAGGTTTGCGTTCTCGGTCGAAAAAAGCCAGTGCAATTAAATATGAATAATTAAAATAAAATGTACTTGCTAAAATAAGTCCAAATACACCAGTAATTAATAAGAAAAGTACCAAAATCACACACCGAATATTCACAAAACAACACGAAATAAAAATATTGACAAATTTAAAAAACAAATGAAATATTTGTTAATTTTTTAATGACTAGCAGCAGCGCCTGTAGTGTTTGTTCGCACAGTATAACTTTTACTTCCAGTCATATTACAAAAATATTCTAAAGGGGGATGTTTTGTGTATTAAACTGGCATAAAGTGTCAAATTCAATGAGCGTAACCATAGGTTCTCGATATATATATATATAATTATTTTCAATGTATTACTTTTAAATCTTTTTATATTATTTGGAACGTTTAAAATTGTTTAAAAATTATTTGTAAAAGTTTGAAAAAAAAAATAGAATGTTCTATTAGGGGTGAAAATGTCAAAAGTTGACATATTATGATATGTCATTCTATTGAGAATGCCATTTTTTATTATATAATAAAAACAAATAACGATATATAAGTTATAGTCATTTCCGGTGAAACAGGAAGTGACAGAAAGTAATTGAAAACTTCAATCAGTCCTGTACAGGGTGGTCGAAATTGGTCTGTTGTAACAGAGAAAACATATTTCCTGACTAGATAGAGCAAAACCGACATAGATGTCATGGGCTCGATTTTTGAGACACATTTAATGGCGTAAACCGCTTGTTGATATTTTCACTTCCAACTGAGATACGGGGTCTTTTTGAATTTTTTGCCATTTTGAAAATTGCCCATAACTTTTTTATTTCCGGAATAATAAAATTCTGTAAGAACATTCTAAATGCACTTTTCTAAGCACAGTTCAGTGGCGTAGTCAGTTTTTTTATACTTGCTTTTTTTGTCAGAAATAATAAAAAATATAATTTTTTGAATCGAAATCATAGGTGGCTATGAACTTAGTAAAATGCTGGCGTTTAACCCTTTCCAACGATATAAAGTTATTGGTATCTATTTCGAAGAATGAGAGAAGTATTAGGTTTTTTATCTTTATATCGAAGCGGGCCTTGATTTTTGACCTATTTGCCTAATTATTTTTAATCACAATTTAATATTCTATATTATTATTTATCTGCATTATTAAAGACTTCTGTGAAGGTAAATTAACATTCTATATTAGTATTAGTAATTACAATTGAAATCGATACAATAAACTAAGAACTAAAAAAAACGTATTTTTTGTGTGACGAATATAGTTTTCTAAAAAAATCATCAAAGAAGTCACAACGATTTATTAGGCGAACTGGTGTAATCAAAGTAATAAAATCCAAACGCTTGCCTAGTATAGCCTTCTGCAATTCCTTCTCCCGTCCCAATGGTTCTTCTCATATACCGGGTGCGTCTCAAAAGTGGCTCACCCCTATAACTTTTTTATTTTTTTCAGATAAAACAACGAGATTTGGTATGTTAGTATATGACATAAATTGGGATTGACTGACATATTCAATTGTTTTCGGTCACTTCCGGTTTCACCGGAAATGACTACAACTTTTGATTTTTAAATGGCACCCTTGGTATTTTTTTACTTTATTCGATAGAAAATGAAAATGACAGTCTGAATCGAATAACATATCATATGTCAATTTTTGACATAGTCACTCAAAAATAAATTCTATTTTAAATTTCAATCTAGAGTGCCACGGCTGTATTAAAAACACTAATTTTTAACCAAGGAGCTTGGAAAAATAGATCTGATCGTCAAATGTTTTTAGTGTCTTGTCCTGGCCGGTTAAAAGATGCCCGAATCGTATTTTTAATCGTATCTCAATTTTTTCAAATGGAATGAGGGTGGCTCATTAGCATATTTGGAAAAATAATTTTTTTACGAATAATTTGATACCACACACTTGATATTTTGAGTCAAATTGTCGTTATGAACCGCATGTTACAATTTCAAATAAACCATATGTTAAAATGTCAAAAGTTGACATATGATATGTCATTCGATTCAGAGTGTCATTTTCTATCGAATAAAGTAAAAAAATACCGAGGGTGCCATTTAAAAATCAAAAATTGCACTCATTTCCGGTGAAACCGGAAGTGACCGATAACAATTGAATACGTCAATCAATCCCAATTTGTGTCATATACGAACATACCAAATATCGTTGTTTTATCTGAAAAAATAAAAAGTTATAGAGGTGAGCCACTTTTGAGACGCACCCGGTATAAGGTCTTTTAATTTCCCTCATAATAAAGTCGAAAGGAGTTAAATTACAGGACCTATGGAGCTCCTTGCTCCAATCCAATTCTCTCTAAAGTCCATTTAATAGTGCAGTTGTAACGCTGGCGTTTTAATTGTAAATGGTAATACTAATATAGAATGTTCATTTACTTTTTCAAAAGTCTTTAATAATGTAGATAAATAATAATAATATTAAATTGTGATAAAAAATAATTAGGCAACTAAGTCAACACAAAATCAACGCCCCGCTTCGGTACAAAGATAAAAACCTAATATTTTTCTCATTCTTAGAAATAAATACACATAACTTTATATCGTTGGAAAGGGTTAAACGCCAGCATTTTTTTAAGTTCTTCGCCATCTATGATTTCCATTTAAAAAATTATATTTTTATTATTTCTGACAAAAAGAGCAAGTATAGAAAAAAACTGACTACGCCACTGGATTGTGCTTAAAAAAGTGCCTAAAGAACGTTTTTACAGAATTTTATTATTCAGCGAAATACAAAAGTTAGGGGCAATTTTCCAAATGGTAAAAAAATTCAAAAAGACACCCTATCTCAGTTGGTAGTGAAAATATCAACAGGCGGTTTAGGCCATCAAACGTGCTTCACAAATCGAGCCCATGACATCTATGTCGGTTTTGCTCTATCTAATCAGGAAATAGGTTTTCTCTGTTAAAACAGACTAATTTCGACCACCCTGTATATATAATATACTAATATACAAAATTTCGTTTTTTATCTGAAAAAATAAAAAGTTAAAGGGGGGTGAGCCACTTTAGAAAAACACTAACTATTAAATAATAAATCTCTTCACAGTGGTTACTTACTTTTTGCAAGTCAACCGAGCACTCCCCTAAAAACGCGTGTTCGTTGTGAGGTATGAGGTCCCAAAGAGTGATTTCCAGTACTCGTTCCATGAGTTCGTCACCTGGCACGTTCATGAAACTTAAGTTGGCGTTCCATATGGGGTTCTGGCTGGCGGGGGCCACTTCAGTCTGGACACAGTGATCCTCCGTTCTAGAAACAGGACTAGACAATAAAAATAAAGAAGTGTAAGGTAGTGTGTGTCTAGGAAATATCTAGAGAAAGAGAATTTAAAGAGAAGGTTAGAAGGTATAGCAGTATTGTCGATGATATTTATATGTTTAAATATTTTTAGCTTCATTCAAAACCGCGAAATTAATGGAATATATTAGTGGTATCAAGTAGTGTAGAAATTTGTGTCTCTAATTTCAATGTAAGCAATCAGAACGTCCAAATTAGTAGCGGTAGGAATTTTCAATTACAATAGAACTTCTCTAATTCGGGGACACGCAAGGAGCTGTTTGAAAGTTACTGAGTACTATGCTGTTTGAAATCAGGGAACTACCCATAATGTAATGCAAATGTAAATATTATTAATCAAAAAAAAGTTTTGGGAATAAACTGAGAATATTACTGCCATTTTTTTCCGTTTTATTTCTACACTGAAAAAAAACTACAATATTGTACAACTTAACAAGTATAGCTAGAGACGTGAGAAATATAAAATAACACGCGACTGGTGCTATCCCCAAGTCTCTTCCTATATTTGTACAACTGTACCACAGATTGTACTTAGATTTTTGTAAACATATGGCGCACAATTGTTGTATTGAGTTATTATTCTCCTCAACTCAGTTTACAATAGTGCCTCGTAACAGCTAATTGTGTCAAAAAATATAGTTAGTAGTGCTACAATTTGTAATAATGATTTTCATTTAAAGTTTAATGAGTACAACGCGATGCCTAGTACCATTTTACACTAGTACCTAGTCGCAAAATGCAGCAGCGTTTTCTACAATTGTGGGGTTAATTACAATTTATTTTTTCCGTTTATTTAAGAATAAATAATGAGCTATTATATTCGCGTCCAGTCCGAATGTATTATCTTGATTTTTCTATACGTAGTACCGCCCCTGCGTGCACAATTTTAAAGCTATAAGCTAAATTCCCTCCCGCTACCAGTCTAGGTGGCCGCGCCGGCCCTGGCGTGGCGGTCGGTATTCATTCGTCTTTCGTGCACGGTGCAGTGCGGATCGTAGCTCTCCGATTTCTTCGTCGTAGATCGATGAAGCCATTTTGTTTATTCTCTACTCATTTTGGATATTACTATGTAATATACGGTGTTCTACAGCTAGGTAGAACACAAGGAACAATATGTAAGTATTGTATAATATTTATTTTTAGAGAAAAACGAAGTGGACGTAAATAACGGAATATTAGAATTAGATAAAAGAAGAAAACAATAAGAATATTATATATATATCGGACTGTTGTACTCTCAGTGAGACAAAGTTCGTACGTGTAAAGAATGTCCTTCTCCTTGTAAGAGGAATTCTCATTTATATAAGGTTCTATATCTCGCAGTCAAGAGAATATTATAAATGCCAAAGTGTTGCATCTCCGAGTGAGTCAAATTTCGTACTTTTAGAGGATGGCCATATGAGAGATTCCTTTTATAAGTCAATATTGATATCCCACTATCGAGAGATAAATTACAGGTATCACAGGTAAGTATCTTATAATATTTATTTTCAGGTAATTAAATAATGGAGGGAAATAATTGAAGTGGAAGCAAATCTCTAAATGTAGAAATTAGAGGCAAGGAGGAGACAATGGAAGTAGACAAATGGAGAAAGCAATAAGAATATCGTATATATCGAACTGTTGTGCTCCCAGTGAGACAAAGTTTCCTATTTAGAGAATGCCCTTCTCCTCGTGAAAGGGATTCCTATTATATGAGGTTAGAAATCTGGCTATCAAATAATATTATAAATATCGAACTGTTGTTTTCCCAGTGACGCAAAGTTTCCTATTTATAGAGAATGCCCTTCTCCTCGTGAGGGGGCATTCAAACCTATTGTATGAGGTTCTAAATCTCTCTATCAAGAGAATATTATAAATACCGAAGTTGTGCCGAAGTGTTGTATCACCCAGGGAGTCAGATTTCTCATTTTTCGAGAATGGCCGTCTCCGTGTGAGGGATTCCTTTTATAAGTCATTGTTGATATCCCCTATCGAGATATTAATTACACGTATTACCGGTGAGTATCTTATAATACTTATTTTTAGGAAATTAAATAATGAATGGAAATAATTAAAGTAAAAGCAAATTTCGAAATATGGAAATTAGAGGCAAGGAGGAAACAATGGAATTAGACAAAAAGAAAAAATGAGAATAACATATATATATCGAACTGTTGTCCTCTCTGGGAGAAAGTTTCGTACTTACAGAGAATGCCCTTCTCTTCGTGAGAGGGATTCCTATTATATGAGATTCTAGATCTCGCAATCAACAGAGTACTATAAATGCCGAAGTGTTTTATCTCCCAGCAATGAAATAAGACGAATATTGGATGGAAATAAATAGAAGTACATCCCGAAATGTGGGGATTAGAGGAAAGGAGAAAACAAAGTGATGAGGAATATTGTATAAACACGGACTGTTCTTCTCCCAGTGTTCTTTTCATAGCGAGACAAAGGTTAGTACTTTTAGATAATCCTCTACTCCGTGTGAGAGGGATTCCTTTTTTTTAAGATATTCCAGAGCTCGCTATCGAGATAATATTGTAATAACCGAAGTGTTGTTGTCTCAATGATACAAAATTTTTTAATTTTAGTGAATGCCCTTCTCCGTGTGAAAGGGATTCCTTTATAAATGACGTTCTCGGTCTCGTTATCGTAGAAGTAGATTTCACAAAAGAATTTCAAGTGATAAATCTAAAAATTTTAGACCCTCAAAAAAAAAAAAAAAAAAAAAAAAAAAATAATAAACGATATATTTCAACAGGAAAACTCCCCCACACATTATATTTATAAGGCTGTACGTTCAAAAAGCAGGACAGTCGTTATTTAAGTGTCACTATCTCATAACAGATCGAACACAAGGTCAGCAACTAGGAAGAGGAAAATAACCAAATCTAGCGATTTGTGCAGTTTGTTGGGGGAAGGGCAATCCAAAGAGACTACAGAACATTCGACTCTTCGATGATGATACATTCTTCTTCGGGAGACGAATTCAGTCTTAGCCAATGATCTGGCTTCAGCACAGAGGTCCAACTTTTATATCTGAGAAAATATTTTAGCTCCCTAATTTACCAAGGAGCCATGGCATGTCGCCTATCCTCTCCTGTGTCATAATGGTTAAGATGAAGTCCAGCATATTTTCGAAATCAAACTCTTAAAAAAAAAAATATCTGGGTTATAAAATTTAACAATAGTCGTCGTAGACTTAATATTCTTTTAAAGGAAGAAAAAATATTCATAAATATAATCATGGAACAAATATGGACGGTTGTTATAGATACCGGACGCATAGTCCTAATGTGGTTGACGGTATCTTGTACGAAAGGTATCAACTATTTTTTTCCCTCTGAAGGATTTTCAAATGAAAATCTTGAGGAAGAAAGGACCTCTGGATAAATTTACTTTTGAACCTTGCTTAGAGGAAAAGATACAAACAACGGAATGTATCCAGATATTTGTGACAGATATTCGAATATGTCTTTACCTTCCTTCTTTGAAAAAGAAGGGGGGGGGGGTGATACATGAGGCACGAGCGGCCAATTCATTAGGTACCCTCCAGTTTGCTGCCTTGCCAGCCTCCTACCATAAAATAGGCGACAACCAACTTAACGTTGACCTCCAAGTCATTAAAGGTAATCAACTTAGCTGACCAGCTAATAATATAAAGTATAATTGAACAATTTTGGCAGAATCCTTTATGGAAGTGCCATCTTATGGGTTTCTGTCTCTGCTTAGTATGCATATATGTATAGGTTAAATTGTCACAATTTAATAAATCCATGTATTGATGGCCGTTAAATTGGTTTCATCTTGGTTGCATTCAATAAACATATTTATAATTTCAGCTATTTTTGTCTCAAAAAAAATGCTTTCTGCACCGCATTCATTAATTTGCAACCATCAGTTCTTTAAACATCTACGTATAGAAAAATCAAGATAATACATTCGGACTGGACGCGAATATAATTATACGATCAAACGAACTTACCTGAAGTGAAGTTCGATCGTAATTATGAGGCGTCCAGTCATCTTCCCACCTCCCGTTTTGCCCCATGGTCGCTTGAATTAATGAATAAATCTTTGAAAAATGAATACCGACCGCCGCGCCAGGGCCGGCGCGGCCACCTAGACTGGTAGCGGGAGGGAATTTAGCTTATAGCTTTAAAATTGTGCACGCAGGGACGGTACTACGTATAGAAAAATCAAGATAATACATTCGGACTGGACGCCTCATATAATTACGATCGAACTGCACTTCAGGTAAGTTCGTTTGATCGTATAATTATACATGTAAGTCCTATGACCGGGACATGTCACCACTCCTATGACACCCTGAGTATATGGCCAGTCCGAGCCTGCGGACACGCGCCAAATCGGACACTCCAGTAGTTCCGCGTCCCTTATCAACCGGACATACAGAAAGTTTGGGGCTTTTTGGTTTTACCTTATTAAGTAATTATTGTTATCAGGTAGTAATTATAAATTTTGAAGTTTAACATGAGATTAACTTGATATAATGTCATTCTAACAGAACGTCAACGGTTTCTTGTAGACGTATCGGTTTTAAAAAAGTAAAGTGTTCTCGAATAGTTGAATTCAAATATTTTAAATAGTTTTTTTCTTATTGTTTATATTTTTTTTGCTTCCGACGACGCACGACGGAAAGAGATAAACTTTAACTAACCTAACTATTTTATTTTGTAGATTTTCTTGCAGCGCAGGGGCGAAATACCCATAAAGGATTTTTTTGGAAAGATGAATCCGCCACATAGGTATAGACATTTTTTTATTATAAATCAATTATGAAATTCTATAAAAAATTTAAAAAAACCATAAATTTATGATAAAAAATGCACTGAAGCCAAAAATTTAGATTCCAAAAAACGTTTAATAAACCATTTTAACAGGAACAACCCTGTAAATTCCCTTTAGTCTTTTTATCCAAAGGAAAATTTACAAACTTTTATTAAAAAATCTATATT